TAAAGGACCCCACATGCATTATTCAAACGCAAGAACCGGTCGGCTGTCTTCGAATAATGCATGTGGGGTCCTTTATAGCTAGATTCCAGTCGACCGGAGAAAGTGAAATGGCTATTGGCTCCATATTCTAGCTGTCACGTATTCTTCACCAACATAAACTTAATATGGTCCAAATCCGAGCGAGTCACTGGGTTTCCAACCTCATTGAGCCAGCGACAGCTGAAGATCAAACAGATCGCTATAAGTGGTGGTCACAGACAAAACCGCCGATCGAACTGGAACACCTCCATTAAATCCGATCAAGTATTAGTGTGCACCAAGTTATCCATGTGCTTTCGGAGTTCTAAAAGCACAGCACAACGAAGGTAGACCAAGATAAGCCATTCCGAACAGCGTGTTTAATCGTCTTTCAAACAGCACTAAGCGAAAAGCCAGAACCACACCACCTGAAAACACCAATCAGCACTGATGACTCATCAAAAATGCTCCAAATTTTACTGACCTACTGAGCTGTGGCCTGACACATCGTGTCGTGACACCCTAGGTTTCCGCCATCCGCACCTTCTTGAATCATGACAACCAACCCCAACATCCAAACACAACTCGTAATGGAGAGTGAACTTAACATGAGCCTTCAAAGTGATGAAATCAATGTGCTTTAGAAATAGAACGTGTTCCGTCATGGGGACTCCTCGTAAATGCTTCATTTCACCCGGATCATCAAGTGGAAAGCTTATGAGGTGAGGGAAATGGACTGTGAGGCTAACGGCTTGCCTACTCGCAATCAACAACGTCCTCCACGCTGTATGGATCACTTTGAGGTATAAGTTAGAAAACTATAAAGAACAACTCAACCACAGATAGTAAAGCCCATGTCACATGGAACGTCCCAACAAACTCGCCGTCTGAGGCGGAAATCCGCAAGGAGATCTAAACCCTGGAACATCACAAAGCACCGGGATCCGATAATCTTACACTAGCTATTTAACGATGGTGGGATAAATTTTGTTCGATAACGGTGAGTTTTGTTCGTCGAGGTATGGGATATCGAACAAGACCACTTCTCGTGGGGGAAAGGATCGATTGTTGTTTCGCACGCTGTCTCATAAAAGACCCGTGCAATGACTGTGCCAGCCACGTGCGTTTAGGCCTAATACTAGCAGTGTCAAAGCGACTAGATGCCGTCACCCTTCGCAGCTTGTTTAGTAGGCCGAACGAGCATGCCACAAGGAGCAGACCAGGTTTAACGTCGGTTGTAAATGTATCTACCAAACCTTCACCCTTCGAAAGTTACCGGGGCAGCGTTATCCTCTCCAAAGTGATCAATGTGCTCATAGACATTCGCACGGCCTCCGATTCCGTCCTTGTTTGACAAAAATGAAGTGCTGGTGAAGTATGTATCCGTCGTCACGGTTGTAACGTCACACATCAGGCTAGATTAGGGCCCATAGTCAGATTTTGCCAACTTTCGCCGTCTACAGTGGAGTGCGACGAGGATGCCGTAAATAACCATGCCTTTACGACCTCACCAAAGAGGATGTTCTAGAGAATGGTCTAGCAAAAAGTAGGGCTCTTGAAGCACAACATACCGAAGAAATCGCCTTGCAGGCGGGCCAACTTAATTTGAACCGCCTGGAAATCGAGGTATCCAAATCATATCTCGTTTGTACATCATCTGTTAACCTCTGTGAGATTTGTTCAAACCCGGAGAGGCAACAGCCAATAAGACACGTCCCGAAAGACGGATGCTTGATATACGCAACAAATGGTGCAACCAGTAAGACATATTTCATCCAAATTCGGTACGGTAACGAATTGTCTAGCGAAGCACTTCCAAATGCCCGACTTACCTAAATGTGATCATCTCGTTCTCTCCATCCTACCTGTTCAAAATCACATCAAAACCGAAAATCCCAATGGATATCTTCCGCATACAAACTCTTGTAACTACATAGCAGAACTGATAGCATTGTGGTATGACCTGAAGCCAAGTGTTCTAGTTATGCGTAAGTCATTCCGATCTTGAATGTGTGTGCTACAGTCGTTGCACTTTGAGGGCACAAAGCGTATGCCGAACATTGTAAGGCATGACAGCCGGGATAGAGAGTTGTTATGACAAGAAAACAGTGAATGATTGAGCAAAACACTAAAGTCAACTTTGTCCAAACCGTTCTGCTTCACTTGATTATCAAATTATTTCATTCTGCCAGATATCAAACTTAATGCGCTAATTCTTCGACCATATTCGTAATAAATGCAACATTCGCAATTTAAATAACTGAACGAGCGCAAAGAAAAACAACAACAAGCAATTACTTCTGTTGACCAATTCTTCCAAAAGACTTGGCCATTCAATTTTGAACTGATTTGCCCCAGTTAGTGAACCGTCTCCACCGATGACAACCAAATTAGTGATGCCCTTCGAGATCAGGTTCGCTGCGGCTTTTAAACGACCTTCCCGTTCACGAAATTCCATACAACGGGCCGAGCCAATAATTGTGCCACCCTGAAAGATTTAAAGAAACATTCAAATCATTTCACGATACGCATTCATAGTGGTGAAATTTTCGCATTATTAAACATAACGGATAGCTACCTACTGTTATCAAACAAGACCAGTTGAATATTTAGAAACAATAGCCCACCCAGAGTCATGTTTACAGCAAAATGCTTTCTTGGCTGTATTTGCTTCCTCGTTCTGACATTCACTGTTTCCATCTCAATACAGTAAAATTGTAATGGGTTTGTATTTTCTAGAGAAACAGATTGACGGGGGAACTGCAGCCACTGTAGATCGCGTTATCCGAAATAACAATAGCAAGCCCTAGGCCCTTCTTTCCGCGTTAATTAAGGGCGTTCAAGCGTGAAACATACCAAAAAAGCCGAATTTTTATCATAAAAATGACCGATTCGATTCAACATTACGGTTATTTTTACAATCTTGGGAGACATTTTATATCGGTCATGGTAGCTAGGGTTGCCCAAAGAAACATTTTTCTTCTTATACCTAAAGACAAATTACGAGATTCAAGAGTCAGGTATAAGCATGGATGGTAAGTCAATCAAACGATGACCGTTTGCCCCATTGTACAAGTATACAAACCCACGATGGTAACCTAATTGTATTTTGACACTTCAAGACGATAACTCATTCGGGATTCGGGTAGGAAAGAGAAAAAACAATTTCACAAAACAGAACAATTTAAGCTAAACACAAATTCTAATAGACCGATAGATAGATAAGTAGGACCCATTTTTTGTTAAACCCCGTTCCCTCACAAAATATGCAGTCTCATAGAACAAAGCGTTTGTATCCCAATTTCTTGTTTTTACCGAGTTGTTTTAAGCACAACTGCGGTTTTGGTAACTCTAATTTAGAATATTACGTACAATACAATCCACACCGAATCTTCGCAAGGATTGAGATACTTGATTGCCTAGCCTCCAAGTAGAACCAGTATTAAATACTTAGTGAACAAGTGAATTCCTGATCTACAATTTATTGTCTTAATCAAATTTAGCTGAAGAAATAACATTTACGCTCCCAAGAGAATCATCAGAGCGTCTGCTAATCTTAGTTTAAGTGTCATTATTGTGTGGATATTTTTGCATAAGTAATCGATTAGATAGTAATAGAGTTCGCACTAGAGGGTGATCATTTTTTTTCAAGTTGCTGGCACCAAAGCACAATTGAACAATCCGAACCAAATTTGGAGTTTGCACTAACATGACAACTGCTGATCGTTGGTCTATAACAAATTTCCAAGTACCCCGACATTTATACGGTCGGGAATTCCTAGGCAGTTTCTATTCTTGACCTAAAGTGCACGGAGAAAAACTATCGAACCAAGTAAATCGAACACTGCGGACGTCATGTCCTGGAGATGGGATGCATGGACGCATGCTAACCAAAAAGTCACGTACCGATCGATCGATACCCTTCGCCCAACCACATGACCTCGACGTCGGAATAGTGCGCACGGCGGAAGTGGGACATTCCATCCGAATAGGGCAAGCTATTGAGCGGTTAGATTGATCGGCGAGGGGCAAAACATATATGAATAAACCCGGGGGTGACGGAAATATACCGTGGCTACCGTTCTTGCTAACAAGCCCGTGTAAACCATGCTTTTTGTATTAGCCTCTTAAGGCGATAGACTGCTTGTTATTCAATAAACAACCATTACTTTTGTATGATTTTCCTCTTAAAATTTGTTTTACGAAGAAACAGTATAAAACAATGATTGTATCGAAAGGGCTATGTAAAGTATTTGTTTCTGAAACCGTGTGCAACCAACCGATAGCGATCACAATATAAAGTGGAAAAACATTTGGGTCAACTGCTAGTTTTGGCATTTGCTATATGATTCAAACAAGTTGTGAATATAATAACCATATTTTCACCACCCTTTAGAAAGTACAGAAAACACGATGAAGCGAACTGTACTGACCTAACCAGTCTAGTGCGCTGTTATTTCGTCGGTTTCAGTCAACTGCATTCTAGATCGCCCTTTTGGCCGACATGGACTGTAATACAAAGTGAAATGTTCAGGTTTTCAATGCGAGTGATACATGAAAACAATCGATGAAATCAGAGACATTGTCTTCATATGGTGACAGTGCATTTATAGACAAACGGCACGCTAAAATGTCTCCAGGGTACGTGCATGTGCATCGGAGATTCAGATGTTTGTAGTTCCTGAACTAATAGACCGGTACCTCCTATCCTCGGGATATAACCGTTCAGATGTTTAAACGGGGTTATTTGATCACGGATTGAAAATAAGAGCCACTACAAAGCGACTGAACAATTGATTATTTTTGAGGAATAGGTGAATAACGAAACATACGGGAGGATAGGGTTCCTTTTTTCTATTCAACTTCTCACTAAGCTGGTCATGTCACCAGTTTTACGTAGATCTGAAACTTTAGCGGCAAATTTTAATTTTTTTCGTTGTTGTGAACCTGGAAAGTTAACAAAACAACATTCGTGAGCATAACTAATCTGTACTAGACGAAAGTAAAGATGAAAAAGTACAGCAAAACACATGCAATAAACCAGGAGCACAGAAGTTTTCTTGCACAGCTAATGAAAGATGGACAGGAATGACAGTTGGTTTGTTTTAGGCAACGGAAGAATGGCAGCAAAAATAGATACTTCGAGATTGGGTGAACGGGTTCCTCAATTTCGAAAAATTTAACAAGATGTGATAATCTGGAAAACACCGATCAACGATTCAAGGATAAAAATTCCTGGGTGAGTTGAAATGTCTGAAAACTACGAGATCAAGTGAGACGAACAGGATGAAGTTCACAAAACAGCCAAAGAATATTGTCTAAACGCAACAACACCTGACCAATCCATCTGACATTCCAAAATATAAAATTTCAGGTATTTCACAGATGAAACAATGACCGGTCATGTGAGTCGTTTGTCTAGCGAAATTCATCGACCGCGATCAAGATATGCAGGAGAGGTATAGCTCATTTACGAAAAGCTAAAGCCCGTTAAAAAACGCCAGAAAAGAACCATCATCGGAGACTGATGATGACGTTTATATGTCCCCCAAGTTATTGGTAATATCCTCTAATCAAACGATTTCCCTTCAGTTTACAACTCAATGCTTTATGATTGTCCAAATGATGTAGTCTAACAACTTCAATCAAACTTCAGAACTTTATACCTTGAAAAGAATTGCAGCAAAAAGTAACCCGTAATTGGGTAACCTGACAGCACTGCACCACACAAAAACGGTAAAATTATTTGGACAAGGTGTCTGTATTATAATTTGCTTCGGACATAGTCTGAGTAGATAAATGTGTGAAACATTTATGTTGAATCGATTACATGAATGCTTAAAACAATGTCCATGGTAGCCCCCAGGAGAACAGTCAAGGTATAAGAACCGAACCTACCGATGTACTTGTTTAGTAAGCACATTCAAACAAAATTAATCATTGATTCGGCTTATAAAGCCTAGTTGCCTTGTATGAATAATCAGCTTTGGATCTGATATAGTTTCGATGAGTATTCCACTTAACCAATCACACCCTGGAAAATGTGGCAATGGACAATTTTTTTAAACGCAGGGTTTCTGTCGTATTTTATATGTGTCAGAGTGCAGACCTAGTACCGAATAAACTACGATACAAAAAATGAATCAGTCTATCGTATCCGGTTGCCTAAGCCAAAGCAGACTAATTTCCTGTAGGATTCGGATAGTCAA